GGGGGTTGGATGGGGTATAGGATGGAGAATGGGAAGGAAGATGAAAGGGGAGGGGGAGGGAGGGGAAAAGGGGTGATGAGGGGAAGTCACTCATAATAACACAAAATGTTGGATTTCCACTGAATTTCGTTCTCAGTGACAATGGACACCAGGATAAATAATGTGAATCCCCCCAGTGGGGACAGAGACATTACTAAATACCTAATGGGGGCTTTAACCCTTTCCCTCTTTAAAATTAGAAAAACACACATTATGAATACAAGAAAGGTTCTATGATAAGACCACTTCTTACAGAATGTATTTTGTAATTACGTAATGTTCTTCTTCCCTTAGCCAAAGAGAGTTCCCTGACGCCAAACAGTGACGGCCCGGGAATGGACAGCGGCTACCTGACCAGCAAAGAGGCCCCAGCCAAGGGCTCCCAGGACAGGGGGAGCAACGACCTGCCCATGGATAAGGCCGAGTCAGAGAGCAACAAAGGAAAGAAAAGGCGGAACAGGACTACGTTTACCAGCTACCAGCTGGAGGAGCTGGAGAAAGTCTTCCAGAAGACACACTACCCAGATGTTTACGCCCGGGAACAGCTGGCGATGAGGACTGACCTCACCGAGGCCAGAGTGCAGGTAACGTAATTTATTGGTCGGCAGATATGTGCAAAAATCCACAATATGTGCACCACAAAGGCTCCGCCGCCAGTTGTGAAACACGGATGTTTACCATTAATATTTATTCAGAAAAGGACTCTGCTAAGTCACATAACATAACCCCGGTGCCATCTAATTTTAGAAACTCTATTCTGTGAATAAATTGCCCTTTTTATGGCTTTCTATGCCGATCGCATGAATACATTTCATTTTACTTGTTTGTGGGCACGTTACATGATTAGGTTGAAAAAAGGCACCAGTCTTCAACCAATAGAGAAACCCAAGATGAATGAATAGAAAACATCCAGAAACAGAACTCTGAGCCCACAACTGATCTAGAAAAAGGCAAAAGAAAAAAACCATATAAAAATAAAATAAATGTGGGTAGAATTTTCAATGAAAAGTAAACTTTCAATTTTTTTTATGGAGCTGCTTATGCAAAAATGTGCTATTATATTTATAATTAATAT